TCCTTCCGCGGTTTCCACACCCCAGCCCCACTCACCAGCCTGCGCATTGGTTTCTTCAGCATCACTATACTGTGGACTGGGAGCAGTTTCAACCAGCGCTGGGACATCGTCAGAGATAGCAACTTCAGAAGCGGTGATCAACGTTGGCCCTTTTGCTGGCGCATTGTTAGAACTGTTGTCCTGACTTCTGAACTCTTTCTTCGTATCGCATACCTCTTCGTCGTCATCTCCGACTTCAAAATGAATAGAACTCGGGTTTTGCTCAGGAGGTGAGCCCATAGAAGTATCAGAAAATGCTGCTTCAACTCTTTTTGAATTTTCTGTTTCTGTAGCGTCGATTTCTTTAGCAGTTGGAGGTCCTTCACTACTAGGAATGTCTATAGGCTCCAGGTCAGGCAGTGCTCTTTCCCGCGCTAATTCAACAAGAACTCCTTGAATCCTTTCGCAACCATGACAAGACACAATCATCTCCATCATGTTGAGCTCGGTAAACGATTCCTGTAAAATATACAGTGTAGACTTTTAGTTTTCTTCAAATTTAGACTTTTCGAATCATTCAGTATAAAACAAAAGTATTGCCTTCAGCACAACTCATGATTTGCATGCTCACGGTTTTGAAGAGCAATAAAGTTAAGAACATCAAGTCTGGGAAAAAAAGGAAAAACGCACATAAATCTGCGGGCTCAGCGTTGTTCCGAATAGTCGGGTGATTCCAGAATATGGGAACAAGAATCGGATGCATCGATTGAGGAATGGCACAAAGTGGAAGCTGAGTATCTCCACTGCCTTGTTGAAATGCGAAGATGACGACTGACCAGAAAGCCAAATGATTATGCTTCGCAGGGACTCCCGCACGCACAACACCACTTTTTGAATCTAAGAAATTTTTTCTGTTATTCGGCGAGAATCTTCGCAGAGAAAAAGGATGACGAACCAACATGGGACTTGGAGTGTAACGCAAACCATTCAAAGCTTCAACAATTGCATTTCCATACACACATATGTCG